TGCCGGTCAGCGAGTCAGACGTGCCGCAGATGTACCCGCACACCGAGCACTTGTCTGACGTTTTCAGATTGCCCCCCATCCACTGGTGCCGGGTTAGGCAATGCTCGTCGGGTGTCACGAATGTGTTGTAGTCTGCCGCCCGTTTGCACATCGGCTGACTGACGGGCAGGCAACGTTTATGAGCATAGTACTTGCAGATCACGCAGCGGGCGCCGACACGATCGTCCATTCTCTTCCTACAGACATTACAGAACTTCTTCCTGAATTTCTGAAACCCACTCCACGTATGGGCCACGGGCCGATCCACCTCCACAGTTGCCAGTTCCTCACTGGAGGTCGCAACGCCCTGCGAGAATGGCTCGGCTATCCGGCAGGGCGGCGTCGGAGTAGCCATTTCAGGATTTTCCGTCCGGCCACTTAGGCCTTCGTGGTGCTGTTCACACTTGATTTTCTTGTCCGCAAAGCTATTCTCATCCTCCGCAACATACACCGGCGCACTGACACAAGATGTAAATAATTAGAGGTAGAACTAAAAGGCGAGAGCCAGAGGGATCTTTTCTTCTGAAAGTCAATGCAATGGTGAGGGTTTCGTTTTTTGCCGCAGAAACATTGTTGCAAAGCTACGAGGACTACGTACTACAGCTTTATCACCGCGTATCGCGTACAGCCTCCATGCACCACTGCACTACACGATGAACAGTCATCGATGCATCATGCATGACCATACCATCGTAAGAAAAGACTGTACTCGTAGACCCAGGTACTCGAAGTCCGTACACTTTTACAGTGTGTGTTTGTCGAGCTGAAACTCACACTAGCAATGATCACTTGCCAGAATCCTGCTCGTGGATGGAAGGTATCTTGTCCAAGTTTGTTCTGAGGCCAGGCTCGATTGAACCAGGCCATCTTTCGATCCGATCTGTTTCTCTGGAGTTCGCTGATTTTTCATATCAAATTTTTGTGTCGCGGAGGGTACTCTAAGTCCGTACTGATCAGAGGTGACTCGAAATACACACATATTTCTGCTAATTGCTAACTTGCAATCCCTCGGTTACGACGAAAGCACCGAAGGGATATGTTTGGCATGTGCCTCCACCAGTATTTCTTGCAAAAGCGTAGTTTGTTGCCGAACTGCAAGCTGTTTTAGTCGGCTCAGAGAAGAAGCAGCTGCGCTGTGAAAACCGCGGGAAAACAGTGGTGGAGATGCCAGGAGTGTCAACCTTTCTGCAAGAATTGGTGGTTCTCTGTAAATTCTTCTCCTCTGGCCATTGTCAGCTCTAAGCTGGCTCTTGATGATTGAGTGAAGGTCTGTTTGACGCTGTGTCCGTTCGAAATCGGTCTTGGCAAAGTTGATTTTTGCATGAAATGTAACCCAATTTGTATTTCGTATGGGCACTCGAAAACCCACTCGCGTGGTATGGGACTTCTGCTTATCGTAGATCCCTGAAAATTGCTACGCGAGGAGAACATACCACACTGTCCCCTCGATAAAATATTTGAGTCGAATACAATAACAGAACATTAAATTATGGGCGTACGAACTTAGGATACCATGTACGGACTTCGAGCACCTGGGTCTACTCGTATGCAGTCTTTTTGGCCATGTACGAGTCTTTTTGTAGCAGCTAGCTGCATACTGTAAAAGCAGAAATTTTCGGTGGTGTAATATTTTCGGTATTCGCCAAAATCGGCGGTTCGATAGCGGGAAATTTTCGGTAAAACCCGTTCTCCAGGTAGGTGTACTAGTACAACATGTATACAGTATCGGTTGTACCTAAAATTTCGGTGCGTTTTATTTTCGGTAAAAATTGTCGGCACCGAAGTTACCGAAAATAAAACACCACCGAAAATTTCTGCTTTTACAGTACATAATAAACATACAATGTACATGGTCAAGAGTAGATAAACATCTACTCGTACTCTTGATGCTGTGTGCATGCAGCTGTATATTCAGTTGTATTTCACTATTAATTTTTAGCTCTGTCCGAGAATCATGAGTCAGAGTCAGCTGCATACACAGTAGATCTACTCCCTGCTGCAACACACTACTGGATCCATGGCCATGGGCAGTGTTGTTCTTGTATTGCCCCTGGCCAGCTGGACTCAGTCAGTGTAGTCCCTGGCCTGCCATGGCCTGGACAAGAAACGCTAAAGACAAGACAAAAAGTAAAAGGTTGGCTGCTCCGGAAGCCTCCCATGCAGCACAGCGATAAAATGCTGTCAGCCACCTGTGGCGTTTCAAGCAGGCAGTGCTCAGTCTATGGCGCATGGTCCTGGTTTCAACCACACGACGAATGTATTAATAGCAAGAGTATTGTCTATTGATTGTACTGTACTGGTGTTCTTGAGAATTTTTTTTTTTTTAAATTTCGTCCAGTCTGCTACTATCATTTCGTCTTGGGGGTTAGACAAGGGGAAGTAGCCATGTAGGGGCGTTAGCCCGCCTTTCGGCACCGGAAGTTCCAGCTCGCTCGACTTGACTCTACTGAGTGCAGAGGACCCACACCTTGGTCTGGTGAGCTGATTATACAACCACATGTCATGATATGATGTGAATCACTCTGGTCAACTCAAGAGTACATGTACACAACATTCCCCTTGCTTGCAACCGTATACAGTATTGCCAAGCCACCGTGCTCACAGCAGTGTGTGTGGGTGGGTGTTATTGTTGTGAAAGTGGACCACAAAGACCATGACTCTTTTTTTCCTGCTGCCCAAAGGCGTTGCAGTGCCTCCGAGACAATGAGGACGGAGGCACATGTTGCATTGCAACACAATCATAACAAAAAAAAGGATTCCGGATCTACAAGCTATCGCTTCCACGCACGCACCCCCCCCCCCCCCACACACACACACATGCACAGCCGCACGGCACCATCAAATCCTCGATTCTGAATAACGCACACAGACGTAACAGTATCATTTGCTGAAGCTTGCCAGCAAGCCCGACTTCCCGACGGCAGAGAGGTCGCCACAATCAGAAACAAACAGAAGAAAGAGAGAGAAAGACAGGGCACTAGTGTACGCCAAAATCCGGGCAAATCGAGAGAGTTGACATGCATGAGAATGAAGGGCAAGAAAATGGTCGCGGTGGAGCATTGGATAGCATACGCAAATAGCAAGAATACATAGACGGAGCGGGACAGATTGCGGTCAGGGTGCTCCCAACAGGCAACGCCATTTATCGGGAGCTTCACTGGGTGGGAGGAAGAAGTCAAAGGAGAAACTTAGAAAGTATCATCAGCAAGAACAACAGAGAATGCAAGAGAGAAATGATACATCAGGAGAGAGTGTGTGAGGTCTCAGAGAGAGAGAGAGAGAGTGTGTGAGGTCTCAGAGAGAGAGAGAGAGAGAGAGAGTGTGTGAGGTCTCAGAGGGAGAAGAACACCTACTAGAATAGATCAGAATAAATAGCATACGTAATTAGCCTACGTTTGTACACAGCGGCAGAGGTGAGGTCACGAAGCTAAACTTGCTTGTTTCAACGTGCCTCCATTCAGCCGCACAGCTGCACACTCCCAACACATCGGCACGTGTGTGTGTGTGTGTGTGTGTGTGTGTGTGTGTGTGTGTGAGACATGCCGCTCGTAGCGCATGTGCCCACACGGCGCCAACTCTTTAACGGGCGACCGAGCGCGCGTGTGCAAGTGGACGGGAAGATAATCTACGGGCGGCCAATTCCAGTGGCGGTGGCTACTATCATCACCGCGCGAACACGAGCAACATCGAACAACGTTTGCGCGTGCATGTCTGTGCGGTATCATCTTGGACAGAAGGATTCGGGCCATCCTCATCTGGTACAGCTGGACAGTGGAGCAGCCAGCCAGGCAAGAGCAGTAAGAGAATGGCGTTAGCAATGGCTCGCCCCTTGTCGATATCCCTGGGAGACTTCAACAACTAACTGACAGTGCTGGTCAATGAAATCCAGTCGCGCCACTCATATCTGCGCCTTGCGCCATTTCGCAGCCCAGTGTTCGCAGGTCTAGGGCTGCGCAACGCCCGGCGCGTGCTTGAGTGACGCGACTGGATTTCATTGAGCAACACTGTACATGTACCACGTTTTCCAGGACATCACCCCCTTCCCCTCCCGGCACAAATGATAGAGGGGATGATGTCTTTTCGTGGCATGACCCTAAAATTGTTGACCCAAAGCCAAAACAACACGGATCGTTAACTGGCAGTACAGTCATGGCCACAGAAATCCGACCCGCGAGTCAAACGCAGCGCCGTGTTTCCCTTCAATGACATCATGCATGCTCCCAGAACTGATCTGAGGGCCGCAGGGGTCTGCAGGAGCCTCGGCGCTGCTTTCGGCACGTGGGTTGGGATTTCTTTGGCCACAATTGCAAGAAAAGCTGTTAGAAAGAAGCTGACGTGTCGAAGTTTGTTCTAAAGGCAGAGTTGATCGAACTGGTCTTTCTGTTTGTGCTGGACTGTGGTCTTCAAGTTCCCAAATTTTCATATCCAAGTGCAATGTTACAGAGTCGGCTGCAAAGAGAAACACTTTGGGAGTACACCTAAAGTTCATTCTGACTTCTGGAGTACTAGTATTCTTTTACGAGTATGAGCTATGTGTCTATCATCACCACCATCATAAAGCACAGCTGATATTATTATAAGCGATAATACTTTGAGCTCGAAGTAATTCTTTAATTTTCGTCCCCAGTCTATTTTTCTACTCGTGAAGCGACTTCAGCATAGACTTCGAAATGCGGTGTTGAACCGACACATGCCACTGCTGTACGTGCTGCATGCATGGAGCTATGAAGCCGAGACCTCTGGTCGGCTGAGCTTCATAGGCCCCACCACCACACTCCATTATTCAGCCCAGTGTTTGGAGATATGGGAATTTTGTAGAGAGAAAAAATGCTGCCAGTGAGGACATGGCTATAGTAAGGCACCAGTCCCGCTGGCATTCTAGGTGGAGTCGCTCCATACTCTGGGGATTCTCATATCACAAGCACTGAGGCTATGCATGTGACCTCATCACACTAGCTTTGAGCCGGGTGGGAGACCAGCGTTTGCTACGTCGCTCTGTACAAAACACCTTCTGTATAACATGTTGTTATAGGTGTACTAAAATTTCGGCGCCAGAGACCTGTCAGGTTTCAGGTGTAATGTAGAATTAGGTGACCAGCCCACCCTTCATATACAGTGCATACTCTAGTGCCTTTTAGGTGTAATTTAAATTTAGGTGGCTGGTTTCTCTACCGAAATTAACGCGTTATACGGTATGTTAAGATATCAATGCATTAATTTTGCTTTGCACCGAGTGGGGGATCAGCGCTTCAACGGCTGGGCAGTTCTCCACACAATACCCCAACAAGGCTGCAGAACACCGGGTGGGGTTCTCCATATAGTTACCCGAACAAGGCTACAGAACAACGGGTGGGTGGTTCTCCGCATAATTACCTGAACAAGGCTACAAAACAACAGGTGGGTGGTTCTCCAGTAGAAATCTCCACACAATGCCCCAACAAGGCTACAGAACAACGGGTGGGTGGTTCTTCACATAATTACCCGAATAAGGCTACATTTATATCTGCTATCGAAAAAGCTCCTCAATTCAGCATTACAATGAAAGGAGAAATAGCTGGCTGCCAAGGAGCCCAGAAGCAAACCTAGAAGAGACTCACCTCGTGTCCAGTCAAGGTGAGTTGGTCGCCGCTGTCAGGCTAACCCAATCCTGGCGGTGCGGCGATCACCGAGCGTTTGTGCCGCCGCAGCATCTGCACAGTGCTGCCCTGCAGGACGTGGCAGATGCCCGCTGGCTGGCGGAACGGCTCGCCGTCGATCTCCACGGGTATCGGCGCCGAGAACTGAAACGTGATGTCGGAGCCCTGAGCCAGGCGAATGCCGCCGCGCATGCCGCCCTGAATCTGGCCGAGATGCATAACACCCTGTACGCCGATGATCTCCAGTAGGCCGTCGTTCATGGACGGCGACTTGAACTTGTCGTCTCTCTCCGTTCCCCAGCCGTCGCAGCCGGCCATCCAGGACTTGATGTTGAGCACGATGATGCCCTCGACGCCGCTCGGAATCTTGATCTTGTCACCATTGACAATGAGCGTGACGATCTTGGAGAGATCCTTGGACGACTCGCTAACGACCTTCTGCATCATCTTGCCAATGGACATCTTCAAGTACATGCCCTTGTTGTGCAGACGGCTGTTGAACTTCTCCGGATTTTCCTCGCGCGCCAAGTGAAACTTGAGCGCGATCTCCGCCTCGATGCCGATTCCCAGGTAGTTATTCATAACGTAGGAGGACTGGGCGGGTGAATTGTTCGTATTTGTCGTCGCCACAGGAGCAGCATCGCTACCAACCTCAAATGTGATGTTCCAACGGTCTAGCGGAACGACCAGGCAGTCTTCCAGGACATCCAGGAGGGACAATGGCGACTCGCCGCTAAAGCCCGCGCCCCAGCGCAGTACGCGCGCCAAGTCATTTCCGGTACCGACCGGCAAGAGGGCCACCGACGGTTTCTTGCACACCATGTGCTCCAGCATGGCGTCCAGCTGGCCCAGCACCCAGCCGACTGTTCCGTCGCCGCCGCAGATGAGCACGCGGAACGACTTCACCTGCCGTATGGCAAACAGGCCGGGAAGCGGCCCGCCGTGCGACAAGTTGAAGATCTGATGCTGGTTGAGCATGCGCACCAGCTGCGTCATGACCTCGCTGCCTTGGCCTCCGCCACTACGCTCGTTCACAAACGTCAGCAGCGGGTTAGAGTCGGGCGGCAGAACGTCGGCACAGAGCGTGGGCAGTAGCATGACCTCCGGCCGCTTGCCGCCCACTTGGACGGACGGCTGCTGGAGAACGCCGAACACGTGCCGCGCCGTCGATGGCTCGCTGATGAACATAAAGATGGCGCCGAGCGGCGGGAAGGCCGGGCCAAACGTGATGTAGTTCATGTTGCTCGATCCCATTGCCTGCGTGAGCGACTGCACAAGCTTGTCGCGCTCCCAACCAACGGGCAAGTTTCCCACGTAGAACGTGGCCGGAGTGTCGGTCTGCAGGTGGCGAATGTACAGGCGCACCATGTGCAGCTGCTCAACGGAAACGTTGGCAAAGTCGCCCATCACCTTCCACGGCTTCTCGTTGCGGTCCAGCACTCGCTCCTTTAGGCCGTCGTACATGTTGCACTCGACGAGGACGTACTCCTGGCGCTGCGCGTCGTCCAGGATGAGGCCCAGGGCGTCAATGGCCAGGCTCACGACCTCGTCGCTGGTCGTCAGCGGTGAGACGGCGATCATGCGGTGCTGATGCTTCCACTGGTCGATGGCGTAGTGCACGCGAATGTGAGACATGTGGTTCTCGGCGGAGCGGAACACCAGCTTGTCGCCGTCCGCTTCCAGGGCGCTGGCGTACTTGCAGACCGACTCGTATGTGTTCGGCGCCGTCTCCAGCGACAGGCAGAACTTGGCGCCGTCGTCCGGGTGAACGTTGAACTTCTGCTGCGACGCCGCGAGCATCTCTGCCGGGCTGGCGTCGCTGCTGACCGTGATCTTCTTGTAGCGATCCACGGACGAGTCGTAGACTTTTAGCGTGACTGCGGACGAGGACTGAGATATGACGTCGCTGTTGACCGACTCTGCTATGCTCGCCGTGTCACTCTCGCTGCCAAGGTTACCGTGTAGCATGTAGCCGAGGAGATTGTTCTCGGCGAGTAGCATCGACGAGGCATTCTCACCGGCTGCGAGCGGTAAAGAGATGTCCGCGCCTGGCATGTACGGCCGGAACACGGCGTACGATGGCAGCAGCAGATTGTGAAGCGGACCTGCCGTGCACCGCTGCTCCGCTAGCTTGGACAGGCAGCTCGAATGCACCGTCATCCTGCACCAGAGACAGCGCTGGCCGCACAAGCAGTCGCACGATCCGCACACCTGTCCACACACCGCGCACTTGTCCGACGTCTTCAGATTCCCTTCCAGCCACTGGTGGCGTGTCTCGGTGAACGAATCAGGAGTTACTGTCGTAGTGTAGTCAGCTGAGCGTCTGCAAATAGGCAAACTCACAGCCACGCACCGTTTGTGCGCATAGTACTTGCAAATAACACACCTCACTCCCAGGCGATCGTCCATCTTGCGTCGGCAAACGTTGCAGAACTTCTTTCTGAACTTCTGCTGCAAGCTCCATGTGTGTGGTACTGGGTTTGTCACGTAGTCTATCGCCACGCGGGAGCAGGGGGTGACGGCACCCTCCGAGCAGCGCTCGTGCGCCACGAACTTACAGGCACGGCACGCAGCCGAAGCGCCCCACAAGGACTCACCACAATGATGACATGCGTGCCCTGGCCGAAGCATCTTCTTGTGAAAGTCATGGCCACTGGAGCTACTTTCCGCATTTGGTTGGGCGTCGTCAACTGACATGATTGTTCTAGCTAAATAGCTCTCTGCCTCTACAATACTCTTCCTTTCTACCAATCAGTTGATTTTCTCGATTGCACAAAAACCATGTTGTCAGAAAACGCACTGGGTCTGCGGGGCCGCCTCTCCGGAATGAAATCCTCCATATCGTGCCGAGAAGACAGTCTTGCACTTTCGAATTTCAGCCGCCCAGTCTCCACACTTCCCAAATGAAAACAAAAAAAACGTTTACGAGAGAAACACTCGGAGCTGATCTGCTGAGCTGACTCGATGACAGACTACCGGTACGCGGTATACCAGGTATACCGCGGTTTGACGAAAAGTTGAAAAGCTACACGAAATTAGGTCACATGACCGTGAAGTGTGTCTCGCGTCTGATCTGACTGTCTGTGGCCCACGGGCCACGCGCCCGGCCCCAGAGCCCCAGACTCTCCACGCGCACCTAGTACCTCCGTGCACAGCAGGATAAACGCTGCGGACGTGCAATTTTCCGCGTTTTTGGCTTTCATAGGCGTTTTCGAGAAATTTGCATAAAAACAGCGTTGTCCAATGTACGAGAAAATTGTAGTTCATGTGTTTGTACGACAAGGTTGTATGTATGCTTACATAGTAACATGGCACGTTTACACTTCAGCTTCGAATGTGACAGTGTGTTTGGCCTCAAACCTGCTCTTTCCGTTACTTTCTTCCTATGCAAGTCGCAACTCTTGTTTTGAGTTGTTTTTCTTCTCTCTTTTTCTTTCCGACTAGTTGCTGTTACACTCACTGATACTTATGCACAGATATACAGCATTCCCTCACTAGTGGGACCATTGTTATTAGGCTAGGGCCTGTTTTGGACTTTCCACTCTAAATAAAGAATACAAACAACAAAACAAACAAATCGCTCCAGTTTTCTATAAATTGACCATGAATGTCCTCCTGCGGAGACATCACCTCTGCTAGTATAGCTCTAGCAAAACGTTTCTGATCCACCATAATTTCGTGCAGAGATGCACACTGGTCGTGGTGATCACGGAGGTTTAGCAAGACGAAATTCGCGTTCGCACTCCAATCGGAAACAGTCGAACTCAGTGACGGAATTCGCGTTATGAGAAGGATTAGCAATTTAATAGCAAACATAATTCGCGCATGCATGACGTCGACGTTGACACACCGTGCATTATTATTAGTAAAATTAATATGACTGTCCTGACACGAATCCGCGATTCGTGTTTCGACCACTTTTCCGAAAGGAAAAATGCGCAACTGTTGGCAATCCAGTTCGCGAACCGAATGTCCAGCAGCCTCTTCAGTGTGCGGGCAAAATAAACACAAACGCAACATCGACAACAGTACAGGAAGAAAAAGAGCTAAAATGGCTGTGAACACAGTCGTGAGAGCAAAAATGGCTGTGAAAACAGTCTAATACGGAGCCTCGGGAGAGTTGAAAATGCCATAGCTGTGAACACAGTCCAATACAGATTTTAATGAATCTGACAAGAACCTTTAAGCTATGCTGCTCATGGCAACTGCAAATCGGGCCGAGTCATTTGCATCTGAGGATACTCGGTGCCGCTGGCCTCGCAGACTAACAACAGCAGCACGGATGAGGGCAAAGCTGAGCTTGCATCGGATGTACGAGATTGTGGCAGAGTACGGCCCCTGCTTCTTGTCGGCGAGTATCGATACCAGCAGAGCATAGAGTGCCGTCACAGCTTTGCCATGCCATCCAGTGCTCGACATTGGTAATTTGTTCCTCGAAGCGACGACGCTTCTCCTGCTCATGTCGCTTGTATACAGCTGGCAAGGCAAACTTGGCGTTGGTGGGGGCGTGGGGTTGAATACCCGGACATCAAAGTACAAACGCTCGTACCTCCCTCCCCAGACTCCACTGGCACCGATGTCCAGGCGGGCGTTGTCTTCAGTTGAAGCCGACAGTTGCGTCATTCTTTCACCTGTCAGCGGCTCCAACAGCGGTTCCACCACAACTTGGTCCTTCATAATGGACGCTGTGAGGTCGCGCACCTCGTTGTGGCGGAGGCTAGGGTGGCCGCCGGTCGAGCAGGAGAGAGCATGGGCCACGGCGAATGATTTACCTATTACCACAGCTGCAAGCCGAGGGCAACCGCTTCTGAGGCCAGCCATATCGCAGTGAAACCGCATCGTGAAATGCGCTCTTGGATAGCATGAAGCCAAACATCTTCAGTGGTTTGCATGTCAGCCACGATGAGGCATCCTTCTCCGCCGCCAGCTCCCTGGACCGCTTTAAGTCCGAAGCAATGCTCACAAGTCCCCAAGTATCGCCGAAGTCGCATCAACCTCTTCTCCACATTGTTGTCCCCAGCGCGGGCTTGCAAATGTAATAAATGGTTCGGAGGCAACAACGTTGTGAATGGCCAACGGTCCTCAGTGCTTGTACAGCACCTCCATGAGCGACACTGACCCACGCTGCTATCTGGTGTTCACGAGGTGTTTGTTGCGCTGGAAACGGAGTGTTTCTGTAAGTTTGTATCCCTGGTGATATTTGTGCCTGGAGAGTACTATTAGTGGTGGTCTTCAGGCACAATCTTCCTCAGCCTACTCAAGCTCAACTGATGAAGGGTGAATTCCCCGAAACACTGTGTATTGAGCAGGGAGTGGTGCTTTCTTGCAGGTTTGCCGAGTGGACGGTTCGATGGACTTCTCGTGTGCTCTGGATGGCAGTCGCGAGTCAGTCAAGTGAGAATTCAAGTCGGTAGGAAAAGCACGAGCTCCCGTGTAGGGAGCAACACACAATTCCCTAATTGAAAATTTAATGGGATAAACTTCAAATTCAAGGTGCCGGTACACTGCCAGGGGAAGTTTTCTGCCTGAAAAAAAACGAAACTACAGTCAACTTCGCTTATAACGACACTCGGCGGGGCATCAAAAAGGTGTCCTTATTCACGAAGTGTCGTTATACCCGAAGTGTCATGATATGTATTACAGTGGGATGGGACTTTGCTCTGGGCATGGAAATTCTGTCATCATTCGCGAATTGTCGCTATATCCGCAGTCGTTATTAGCCAAGTTGACTATACTTCCACACACGGCACCTGTTATAATACTAAAGTGTAACTAGTAAGAATTTGTGTACGAAACAGAAATGCATGTTAGTATCATCGTACTGTAAAACCGGAAAACTTCAGTGGAGATTTATTTTCGGTAACTTCGGTACAATTTCAAATGGTGAACGGTACTATTCGGCCAATAAAACTTCGGTACTGGTAATTTTTACCTAAAATAAAACGCAACCAACAATGCAGTGACAGTGTGCAAGATGCATTTTCGGATCTGTAAAACTGGTTTACCGAAATTGTCGCGCTACCGAACCGTTGATTTTGGGAAACACCGAAAATATTACACAACCGAAAACTCCCGGTTTTACACTGACACGGCAAGCCAAAGATATCAGTCAGAACAAGACGTTTAACTAATGACCCAGAGAGCAAGGTGTCTTTGACCTGCCGCAGTATTCTTCTCAAGCCGTCCCATTCTGTCTTTTGACTCTCTGCGGTCGCGTGGTATCGAGCATCAGGGAGTCGTACCCAAACTAGTTTGAGTACGACTCCCTGTCCAGCATTGACTATACAGGCCCAGTATAATTTTTTTTTTTTTTTTTTTTGATATACATTAGAAATTTATTACTCAAATTTTGAAGATCAAAAGGAAAGCTTTGCAATAATAACAACAATAAAACGTAGCCTGTAGAATGTAAAAAGTCACTGAGTACAGTTTAATTCAATATCCATGTCCAGTATTTATAATAAAAATAATCTGCTGCAATTTATAGATTCTCACATGCGAGCAACCTGGGCCTCAGCAACAACCAGCTATAAATCCACAATTGTCCCGAGGACCCAGGACGTCCCCAGCTCCATTGACAGATTAGTTTTTAAAGCTTTTTTGAATGTTTTTTTATTACTTTTTTAAGAACTTCGAAACTCTACTGTAGCCATGTCATATTCTCAGTATACACACCTCGCAACACACAGTCCTTCGCTACACCGCGTACACTAGATTGTCCAAATTTTCAACCAGGAGGGCATCATCAGGGATTTTTAAACGGAGAAGAAATACATGACAAAAGACGGCACAGAAAAAAAACAGAGGACGGATTATGGAGTAAAAGAAACTATACGACGGAAAAGTAGCAAAAGCGGCCATGTGCCATGGCATGTGCGAGAGAGAAAGAGGGAGAGAGAGAGAGGAGAGGAGAGAGAGAGAGGGGGGGGGGGAGAGAGAGACCAGATGTTGTAGCGACAATGACCGACAGCAAATAAAAATGCTACCTTGTTCGTCAGCCCATGGTGGTGGAGAAATAGTGGCATGCTGTTATAGTCCACGAGCACAATGCAGTTATGTTGGCCGCAAAGCAAATAACACGAACAATACATGCCTGACCATGCCTGACCAGTCCAGGAATGCACGCACACGACACACAACCACACACACACACACACACGAATGACGCTCAAGTGCTCAAAAACTTGGTAAAGACCAATGAGAAGGAAAGAAGCCGAGCATAACGAGGGGAATACCCCAAGCTGCTGAGTCCGGCTAGTGAGCATGGAGAGGGGAATACCCCCAAAGGTGCTGAATCTGGCTTTTGAGCATAGCGAGGGGAATACCCCTAGCTGCTGAATTTAGCTATTTAGCACGGACAGGGGAATACCCCCAGGTGCTGAATGCGGTTATTGAGCATGACGAGGGGAATACGCCTAGCTGCTGAATCTGGCCATTGAGCATGACGAGGGGAATACCCCTGGGTGCTGAATCTGGCTATTGAGCATGGCGAGGGGAATACCCCTGGGTGCTGAATCCGGCTATTGAGCATGGCGCGAGTTGGTGGAAAAGAGCAACACTTGCTTCTTTCTTCTTCCCTTTCCGCCTTTCTTTCCGGCGCCAGTAGCAGTGGCTGGTACATCACCAGCAGCAGCAGCAGTTGATGCTTCACTGCTAGCCAACGATGACATACCTACATGCATACATACATACATACATACATACATACATACATACATACACAACATTGGGTACTTGCATACATACATACATTGGTACGTTCGGGCCTGGTTTAAATCCGGCTTTGGAAAATTTATTTTTCATTGTTATCAGGTACGGCCTCATTTCCTCTGTGCTGAGCTGATGAGTCCACAAAGGACGAAACAGTTCTGTCCGCAGATTGAGTATATACAGTATATGGTCACGTCTCTATATATGGTCACAGCTCTGTATATGGTCACTATATCTCTGTACAGTGTACAGGCGACATGGTGCACCGCTGTACATGGTCACAGATGGAGCCTTGCTTTCACAGATGGTGCTGCAGTATGAACCAGGGATCCCTGCCTCCTACGTAGGCCATATAGGGTTCCCTGGTATGAACTCGGCCACCATAAAAATGCGCAGGCTTTTGATTTGTTGTTGTTTTCAGTTCCACGGAAGTTCTTTCTTGTGGCCATCGCCAAGACAATGTCACAGATGGTGCTGCAATATGAACCAATGATCCCTACGTAGGGCTCGCTGGTATGAAAGCGGTCATCATGAAAGCTGCAGTCTTTTTGATTTGTTCTTGTTTACAGTTTGTCGGATTTTCTTTCTTGTTGTCTGAGCTTGTTTTTCTTGTACTAGTAGCTTGTGAAATTGAAGCAGTTATTCTATTATCCCCTGCTATATCTTGCTATAATATTTTAGGTTGATCTGTTTGTATAATGTAGTTCGAAGGTGGAAGAAGAAGCGCAGGTTATTAGAGTTGGAAAGTCCATCCGAAGTGCTTCAAAAACTAAAGATAGAAATGCGGAGTCGTTTTTGATTTCCTTTCAGGAAATAACTACGGTGTGTTTGGTCAAAGGACAGAACCCAAGTGGGGCGAGGGGGAAATTGCGGAGCACGTTAATGCGACTGAGAATGTTCACGTCGAGGAGAGGTAAATGATGTGTGTGTGTGTGTGTGTCCGTGCGTGTGTGGGTGTGGGTGCGTGTGTCGTTACCCCACGCAGCAATGATTATATGTTCTGAGTTGTGACCACATACAATGTACTAGTACGATTTCAGTTAGCAGTTGAGTTGACCACATCTAGAGTGGCCATGTATAGGTGCATGTGTGTGCTGTCTGCCATGTTATTGTGCCCATATATAGACAAGACACATTGCATATTTATAAAATACATACTGAGTCCGAGGTGTTTACGAGAAATAAAAAACCGACACAAAACCCGAGGCGAAGCCGAGGGTTTTGTGGAGGTTTTTTATAATTCGAGTAAACACGAGGACGAAGTATGTATTTTATTTAAATTATACTTATAACCGATTTTCGTTTTGGATTTTCGTACCTATTTCGGCGCATGCTCGAACTTACTCCTCGTGTTTCAACTTTCTCCTCGTGTTGTTTATTTTGGTTTACGAGTGTAATGGCTTCTTCAACGTCTACTGGACGTTTTGCGTCCGTTTCTGAAGAAGAAAGGAAGAAACTTTTGGAATCAGCAGTTCCTAAGTCAACCAAAGTTGCAACGAAGTTTTGGTTGAAGGTGTTCAGCGATTTTTGATGCAGGAGAGCTTGTCTTGTGATTTTGCTACTGTCGAAGACAAGGTACTGGCGGAAATCCTCGAAAGGTTTTACTGCTCCGTGA